ATGTTCTCGATTTGCTTGAAGTAAATCTGTCAGAGTAATCTCCTGAAAATCATTTCTGTCATGTCTGCCCCAGCCTCTGAGTGGAAGAAAATAAAATTTCAATAAGATTCTGAACTGCTTGAATTATCTCGAGAAACTGGAAAGACATGTTGTTCGCTGAGATTTATAGTATAAGATTTTGTCACCCACTGAACTTGAGTAAGGCACATTAGTAGGCGGATGAAGAGACTGACTAACAAGGATTTCCCCAGAAAGGACTAGTGAGGTGGGAATATGTATTTAGGAGGAAAACATCGTTGGGCGCCCCTGTCTCAACAACACTGATGGAACTTAATCACAGCACAGAGTAACCGTTGTAAGTTAATCGTTAACAAACATTGCGCAATTTTGACAAACCTCTATTAACCGGACACAAGGGAAGGTCCCGAAGGTGTCCGCTTAATAGCAGTTTCCCTGTACTTCCGATCGATCCATTATTACTATAGCGACGATGAAATTCGAGGGCGACATTACGTTTTTACAGCAACTCGAAATGTGGGAATGTAAGATAAGAGAGAAAAAAAAATACTGCAATCACCTTTGTGCGAGCTATTCCACACGCGCACGATTTTAAAGGCACACCGGCACGATTTTGAAGGAAGTAGCAGTTGACTTTTATTCCTCATTTAATTAAATGCAAAAAGCTGATTCGATAATGCGCTGAAACGACGAACTTGTCAACCATTTTCCCTTCTTAGATGTTACGTATATGGTATAAGGTTTCGTCCTGTACAAAATTAAAACGAATCTGAGCGGATTCCATTGCTTATCGGCCAGAAACACCATTCATTTTAATTTATTTAGCTTGGGTCATGTTACGGATGATATAAAATATATATTACAGTTATTTTACTGCGTTCAGAGCCAGGGGGGTAAAGTACTTACCATTTCATATACCATTTTTGACAGAAAAGTTGTATACCCCTTTAGTATACCTTCCATTGGCAAATAGTAGGTACCCCTTTCACATACCTAGTTTCAAATTTGCATCCCTTTAACTGCTGTAGAGTCACTGTCTTTTAAGCATGGATAAATCACAAACCACAAAATTTTCTCGACTTTTTCCCTAGCCACAACATCCTTCTGAGGCCCTTTAAACCCTCATTTTGTAGACCGAAATGACAGATTTTCCTACCCTTTCATATACTTCAACTCATGAGTGAAATCCCTACCCAATTTCACATAGGCCTGATGCCTGAAAAAAAAAATGTCCCTTTCTGGCGGAGCTTCCCCGTATAGGCCATTATAGGGAGAACCCCCCGGGGGTAACGTTCGTGATGATGCTCATGTAAAGGGGCTCTGTTTTAGTTTTTAGGCAAAGATAAAAACAATATACTTACCAGAGCTGGGCATAAGAGCAAATCAGCTTATCACACAATACCGCACTCTTGTGTTCTGACCTTATAGTAACTGACTTCTTTGTTTTGTAGTGCTTTGCTCTTATTATCCAATCAGCGTTTAACTTAGCAAGATAATATTGCATACCTAGCTGAAACGCGGTCTTGAAACCTTTAGTTTGTTTATTGAGTAACACGATAGATCTAATGAGCTTACCACACGTTCAACTATAAAATGAATGTTTTGAAGCCCCGAAGTTCATCAGGTGTCTCGATCACCTTGCATTTCTTGTATCCAGCAGATGGGGCTGACAAAATTTGTAACCTTCTTGTTCCTCCTTCATCTGGGGATTTTTGCTCCAACCGTAACAGGTACAATAATGTGACATTTCTTTAAGCTAATATTACTCTACGTCTGTAGCTTTTTTTTTCTGTACTTCGAAAAAATTAATATACAAGGTTTCTAACATATAATTGAGCCCCATGGAAGTCAACGACATTGTGTCCAATTTTAACTCTTTGTCTTAATTTTTTTGTCATGGGTGGATATCCTGACTTATATTTTGTTTAAAAGTATGCTCTGTTAGTGAAAACTATAAAACATGTATTCAAACATTTTAAATTTGTAATATTTTGTAAAGAAATATTGTTAGTGATTAAGTGTACCGAGGCTAGCGAGAGCTCAGGTGTTCTCTATTTTACCAGAGTCAGTGAGCTTGTTTCGCAAACTCGGGCAAACGTAGATGGTCCGTCTTTTCCATTTAAATGTTCTTTTTCTCTCTTTTTCATTGTCTTATTTTTTAGTTAGTTCGCGACTAGCTAAGATAAGAAGGCGTTCAGCAACTTACCCCTTTACGAGATGAGAATCTGCAGCCGGATCTAATGGGTTCCGGTTGGCAGGAAAGTCCAGAAAACCACCTAAGTCAAAGATACCTCCAACTCAAAAGTGTCCGTTGCAAAAATAGATTTAAAATTTGGTAAACATCATTGCAAAGTTTTTGAGTCGTAATAACAGCTCTGCCAGTTTAATCCTTACAAATTTATTAATCATGTCATTGTCACGCTGGGTCAGAAGGAAAAGAAAAAAGCAATGACAATTGGATTGAACTTCATAATTTTTACACTAAATTATTTCTGGCAGGCTGATTGGCTAATTTTTATGGTCAATAAGAGGACAGACACATACTACTTTTATTTATGCAAGACGCGGTCATTTGCTGAACGAATGCCAAACTTCGATGCATTTTTTTTCTTTAGTCGAATTAGTTTCGTCGGAGATTCACCTTCTATCTTCTAAGAAAAATATCCAAATTGCTCTCTTATGCAAGACGTAATGATGCTTTCACAAAGTTTAATAACGTCAATTTGACATCAACTGAGAAGACAGACACATAAAAAACTGGCGCCAGTTTGTTAAACCGAGTTTACTTTTTATTTTTTCATTAGCCCGCTTTATTTAATTTTGGAACGACGATGTGTTTTAGTTACAGTCTGGTCTAGTTCAAAACTTCCCAGAAATGAGAATTAAAGGTTGGCGATAAAAAACAAACAAACAAACAAACAAACAAACAAAAAAACCCTTTCAACGGGAGGCCTTTTCTTTTGCCCCAGCAATTGAAAATATCAACCCCAAATCGATAGTAAGAAGGACGTTAAATGAGGATCAATTTTATTTCGTGGAAATCTATTTAAATCGCAGCTTTAATAGCCGTTATAACTGCCCTGAGGCTTTAAGCAAAAAAAACAAAAAACAAAAAACAAAAAACACACACACGTTTCCATTTGAAACGATATCAGAACGGTATTCGACTGATAAGAAAGAAGAGGGCAAGTTATTTATATTAAGTATTCTAATATCTTGACATGGCCTAAGATCAGATAAGGCTAGCCGCTGAATTCAAGCACTTTATATAATAAGCGGAAAAAACGGGAGAAACTTAAACAAGGATTTACTAGGTAACAGTGAGTTATGGGAGAATTTGAAATTTCCGACGCTGTTGACGGTGCCTCTGAGAGACCCGCACGAACAACACGTAATATTTTCTCGAATTTGTGCTCTTTCAATAGCGCTTTCTACTAATGACGTCACAAATTTCTGGTCCCTGGTATGACTCAGACATTAAACCTGACCGGTACAAGAGTTTAGTTTGGAAAAGTCACGTTCGGCAACTAATTTTTGTCGTCAATTAAGATGTTTATCGTTAAAGGAAACAAAATCCGGTAATAAATATCCTGAAAATAATCAACGCCTACCAAGACAGCGTTAAACATGGAAAAAACTGTACAGATGAGGGGTTTTAATTCTTATGTGGCGTCATAATACTGTGGGTAAAATTATTTTTAAATGTGTGGAGAGCAGGGCTTCATAGCTGTGCATGAAAGGGTGCACTTGGTTAAATTTATATAGGCAAGGGTAGCTCAATTTTTTTTTCGAGTGCTTATGTTACGCTACCTAGTACTACAGGATATAGACAGTATAAAGTACTAAAGTATTCGTCCCGGATTCATATGGGCTACCTGGCCGCACAACAACAGAACAAACTTATACAATTTCCGGTTTGTGCTAATGTTGGTGTGCTTTTCACCTTAGATATTCTGTCACAGGCTTGCGAGAAGTACATCCAAACTCGATTTTCTATCTATTTAGCAATTTCGGTTTTGGATTATTACACAGCCAATAATGTTATGTCATGTTTCAGTGCATAGCGGTGCTTTCTGCCTAAGACACAGAGCTAGGGACCGATTTCAGTAACCTTCTTTGATCGAGTCGCTTTATTTTCTGATTTATGCTCCATGTTCCTTTAGATAGTATTATATCCTTTAGATAGTATTATTCTTGCTTTGGGTGAGCTCTGTTTGCTGGGATACCCAATAACGACAATTCCAGTTCGGGATAAATTTGGCCACAAGAGTGGCCGTTTATTTCATTTAGGCATATCAAGCTCGGAAAGTCCAGATACACAAGAAGATTTATCCCAGCAAAGGTGAGGGCACACCCGCCATCCGGGAGATGAAAGTGGAGCAAAACGGGAGGGAAGGGAGGGAAAAATGTTTTCCAACTTTCTTGTTGCAGTGAGCAGAGAGGCCTTGTGCCTCGCTTTCATGTCATAAAAAACACATATATAATGTCCAGGATGGCAGGAACGCCCCATCCCCAGTAGCTGGAGAAATGACACATTGATCAGTTACATTAAGCATAAAACCAGTTACTTCTTTCAGAAACAAATTTCCTTTTAACCATTTATTTGAGTCACTAGACCAGGTTTTGCTCCCTATAGCAGTAGTGCCTTTTATATATTGGAATTAAGCTCTAAAAACATTTTAAAAACGCTCACTGCCAATATCATGAACAATTTTCATGTCGGAAACGCATGTTTCCGATACAAAGCCTTGCAGTAGAATGCGAAGTTTGTCTGAGTCACGCGGGGGGTCTAAGGTGACAAAACTTATTTTTGGTAATAGTGGAAGGCGCTATTCTTATATAGTCACTCTCCCGTCTCTCTGTATTCACGCCCTCTTGCACATCACACCCTCGCACCATCGAGCTCTGTTATGTTTTGGCCCATTTTATACTTAAATACAGTGAAAAAAAAAAAAAATAATAATACAGTGTAACATTATTTTATTGATATTGTTGTAGGCACTTCGTATCAAGTTGGCAAACTAAATGCATCAGAGACGCGTCAAGGATGGAATTGCAACAGTGGATGTGAGTCGCCACAACATTGTACCTTGCCACGCTGCACTAACGTGGTATTTCCGCAAACGTTTAGTGGATCTGGAACCGTAAGTAAACCCTACTAAAGAAATTATAAAGTGGCTTCCTCTAATGGGTTCGCGAAAACTTTCTAATAGAAGCAGACCGCAATAAGCTTCATTAGAAACTATCTTCTAAACAACTTTTGATTTGCCAAAATTGTGGCTTTTATGATGTTATGACCTCAGCGAATTTAGTGCACATAGGTATATTCAAGTGCTCTATAATCCCTAAAATGCGTCGTGTGTTTTTAAACAAAACAAAAAAGTCAGAGGATTCTGACGATAAATTTAGTTTGGAAAATATCTAATCCTTGGAATAGGATCAGGATTGGGGGATGGGGAGGGGAGGGGGAGGTGGAGGCGCTTATGTATGTAACTATCGCTATTTGTAACAACTTGTTATATATGATGTTATAACATAGAAGATTGTAATTTTAAATTGTTTGGTGAACAGTCGATGCAACAGGTGGTGTAAGACCCAAATAAATATTGTTTTGTCTTGTCTTGATTTCTCATTAATGCATATTTCTACCTGACTCATCTCAGGTTCGAGTATTTGTATCATTAAGCCACGAAGATCAGTCATCAGTTGTTCATTCACCTTCCGCCGTTTGGGCAGAGTCGGTTAGTACAGCTGGATTTCAGTTATGCTCGCGTGCAACAGGTTCTACAAATGACACTGGAATTATCAACTGGGTAGCGTTTCAGGACAAACCCATGTTAACGCATGGAAGCGTTACTTTTAGCGGAATATGGACAACAGAAACCAAATGTGAGAAGGTGGCCTTTTCTCAGGTTAGATAATAGACTGACAGTAATTGTATAATTTAGTAAGACGAAAAAATAAAAATAAAATAGCACTTTATTAAGCAGATGATGCTAAACAAGAGAGGATATCCTCTGTTGTACTGAACAAATCAAATATCAGGAGTTTCCATTTTTGGATAATAGGGATCAGGAAATTAATTCTCTCAGTCTGGTTTAGTTTAGTTTTTAATGCTTGGGCTTTTACTTTAATGTGGTGGTGTCATTGAGATGCTTGGTCGTGGTGAATGTATTGATGTGTCTGTAGTGAATCAGGAAATTAAATAGAGCTATCTTCATTTACTTGAAATTTTAATATTTTCACATTGTAAGTAACAAAGCTCAGCTGAGAAGTAAAGTTTTTATTTGTAACTTTTAGTAATGTGGTAAATATGATTGATTTCGCCCTGCTTTTTGAATGCATATATTCGCAGAAAAAGGGGATGAAAAGAAACTCGAGCGAACATAATTAGATTACCGTAAAATTCCCAAAATAGACCCCTCCATGTATTAAAGCCCCTCCAAATATAAGCCCCCCAAACCAGTAACGCAAAAAACCGTCCTCAAATTGCCCTCAAATACAGAGTGAAACAAAGGGAAAACAGTAAATTTACCTCCATCTATAAGGGAAGCTCAATCGATTTTGAAACGCTTATCTCCCTCCGAATATAGGCCCCTCCAAAAATAAACCCATCAAAAAGGACCTTTGAAAAATATAAGCCCTGGGGCGTATTTTCGGAATTTTACGGTAATGGGATTGATCCATGTTTCCTTTTTCTTTTCATTTAAGTGCAGCTTACATGAGGACAACATTGACTTTTCTTTGATTTTTAGGAAATGTTGCTTATTTTTTTCGGTTAATAGTTTTTCATTTGCGTATATATATATTTTTTGCAGAACTTTGCTTCCGAACCTAATGTATTTGTCTCTGTTAAGTACACTCGCAGTACAAAGCCAAATGACGCTAAGTACTTATGGTTAGAAAACGTCATTCCTGGAGGATTTGAAGTGTGCTTAAGGGAATTCTTGCCCTTTGATGGAAAACACCAAGATGCAGTTGTGGTAAGAGAAGTATTATGCTCGAGTAATTAAACAATAAAGTGAAAGATCACGGACTATACAGTACTATCATCTCGGATCACGTACTGGTGCATGACGTATTGCATGAGGTTTGAAAATACGATTTGTGTCTTGTTAATTCACGTGCTGCGTTATTCGGGGAGAAATATTTTTGTTGTCTCTCATGTCGCGAAGTCAGTGTTTTGTGTCGATGTCATAAGTTACGAATAACTGGTAAGTAAAGGTGGCTCGACTGGATTTTTCAGGGGTAATACAGTCCATGTTTGAGTATTTACTGCGTCGTTGTTATTAGGTAAAGATGAAACTCTGTTTTGATTAGTGTGACGTTGACATCTGTGTTGTTATGACAACGTAATGGCGTGTTTAACACTGAGAATCGTTTCCTGAAACTTCTAATAGCTGTCTTAATGTTCGCGAAGTTTGAGCAAACCTACTAGAGCACTATCGAGATATTTTGATAGGAAGTTACTTTTTTAAAGCTAGAAATTCAGTAAAAACTAACTGATCAATCTTGATTTGGTGTTTTTAAGGGGCAGCCTGTTCAAGTTTTGCAAAGTACAGAGAAATGAGGTTGCAAGTAGAATATGTAATGATGGCACCGAAAAATCCTGCCGACTTTCAGAAAATGTCATTCGTAGTCTGCCATGACTATTCCTGTCTAAAAGATGGCAAGTTTAATCTGTTCTTTTCTTCCTTTTTACTTTTTTACATTTTTTTTGCCCCAGGACTGGTTCGCATTCACTGGCAATGGAAGTCAACTTAACTTTACAATTACAGGAAAAGAGTATTTTGGAAACAGTGGAAATCCATCAGCCCAAAACAACTATGGCTTTTGTCAGGTGAAAACTACTTTATTTCAACATTTAGCACAGTTATTTGTAAGATTAAAACTTCCAGTTAATCTCAGTAACAGTAACAGTTTCAATAACTCAGTACTGCACAGTTATTTAGTGGGCAGCTGATTGCCAAAGTAACGAATTTTAACTCCTTGGCTGTTTCCACCCTACCGTTCGTACTTATTTTTCGTGTTTCTTGAGTTATATTAATAGTGATGAATGAAAACACAACGAAACTGTCACTTATCTAAACATTCAGTTAAAAAGTTATAGATTTGCACAAATTCAGAACAACTGGTATTTCTAAATTTTACCTGATGAGAGTTTAGAAATGATGGCTTTCGAGGAGAGGGGAAAACAAGAGCACTCAGAGAAAAACCTCTTGGAGCAAAGGAGAGAACCAGCAAAAATTTCAAGCCACTTATGACGTCTACGGCGGGTTTGATCCCGGGCTACATTGGTGGAAGGCGAGTGCGGGCGCCACCCTTGCTCTCCCTTTAGTGACAATTACAAGCTAAATCTTGGCAACTCCTTTCGTGCCATTGACAACAATCACTGAACTATATCTTTAAAAGTTAAAACTTTGTACTATGCCCGCCGACCCGCCCCAACCTTTTAGCGATCGCCTACAAAAACAATAACAGAAGTGGTAAGTGATAAGTGGTGTTGTCCTACTACGCGCCGATTTGAGGTCGTTACACAAATTAACGAGTAGTTTATTAGCTCGTTGTTTTTTATGGTTGTCGGTTTTCGTGAGGACGCAAAAAGCTGTAGGTACACTTATACATTGCTGTGCCACCTGCTTTTTGTATAGAGTTACTCGATTTTCTTCAGCAAAGAATAGTATGGGTTGTCTTGAAACGTATCTGCTTTATATTCATTGAAAATAGCTAGCCCTGCATCTTATTTTAGACTGAGAGATTATTCTGAGAAGTGAAAGGTTTATAGAGGATGGCCCAAAATAATGGAAAAAGAGCTACATACTAATTCATCTCCTTAACACTTTCTTGATTTTTCTTACGTATTTACAGGAAGTACCTTTCAATACGACCTTCTATGAATCGCCAGTTGTTATTCTTTCCGTAAATCATCAATATCATCGTCAGATCAAGGGAAGTCGTCTTCCAGGAAATAATATCATATCGGCATGGGTAGAGGTAGGTTTGCATTGCTATTACGTGTGGTTGATGATCAGAATTATGGATTTTTTCAGTGCTTTGCTGAATCATTTAATATGCAATTGTTTGCTTGAAGAGTGACCACACCTTCAGATCCAAATCACCTCTCTCTCGTTTAGTCAGGGGATAGAAGTACTTCGGTCAGTCTTCTAAATTGATTAAAGGACTTTAAGATTGCTGACAAAGAATAGTGTGAATCTGATCAAAGTTATCGTTGAAATTAGCAGGAATTTATATTAAATCGGAAGGTCACATATCCAAATTGACGTTCGGTGAAAATCAGACCATGTTTATTTTCTGAGTGCTATCACTTTTTGTTGTAGGAAGTTGGATTAGAATCTATGAAGATATGCGTTAAAGACCTCAGTGGATTAGGATCGAGTCATGATCCCTTGATAGTCAGCTACGCTGTTACTGGAGGTTGTTTTTTTTTTTTTTCATTTTAATAAATTTGTCTGTATTATCTAAATTCGCATAGCAAACCATTTAATGACATAATCATATTAACCTTGTGGTTCACAACAATAAGAGAGCCCTGGCCGGTATGCAAACATGTTGTAATCATACATGATTGTTTTTTTTTTTGAATGGTGAGAATAACTCAATAATATAATGACTTGTTTCTTATTGCAGATCTTAATCCTTGCCTTAATGTGCATTGCCCGCGATATGGAGTCTGTAGGACCTACAGTGCGCATGACGCTCGGTGTGAGTGCGATGACCAATGCCCCTCATATGAAGACCCAGTGTGCACTGCAAACGGAACAACCTATGACAACCGATGCTGGCATAAGTTAAGCTATTGCAGAGGACTTGAGAATAATCTGGTCTATCACCCAGGAAGCTGTGAAGGTAACGAAAAATAATTTCTTGCACCTTCTCCCTTGTCCTTCCTGTCAAGGAAAAGTTTGAAGGTTTTGTAAAATTTCATCGGTTTTGACGCAAATCACCGCTAGTTCACTCCAATATTTTCTAATGGTTATTTGCCTTTGTTTCGTTGCCTCATTCCTCCATTGCCGTTTTAGTTCAAAGTTCTCCGGTGTCCTAATTTGTCTAAGTCGTTTCGAAAAACGACACTTTGGTCTGGTAGCTTTTGTCCAAGCTGGTGTCATACAAGGCACAAATTAATTTTGCCCTCATGTTCATCCTTTTTACTTTTTAAAATAAAGCTTTAGTTTTCTCCTTTCCTCGTCTCGGGCTTTGCACTTGTTTCGCACTTCGCGCAAAATGCTGCTTGGCTCATAAGGATCTGGAAATCCGTTAAAATCTTGCCCTGAATCCAAAATCCAGGCAAAAATATTTTCAAGAGGTGGCTCGCCTATTCGCCTATCAAACGCCTGTTGCCCAGGCAACACGGATATTTCCACGTAGGCGGCTTTCTTTTGACACGAGAATTTACATCGCTTGTCGCTGCAGTTTCGTAACCAAGATTTGGATGAACGTCTCCACACAATAATAATTAATTCAGTTGCAATGAGGCAGATGAGTTGCGGTGGTGAATGATTTTGCAAGAAGCGAAGTGTTTCTTTCGCTTGGGAGTAAAACCAATATTGCTTCTCGAAGCACATGGCATGAAGTCAGAGTAGCCCAAAGTTAAGCAAATGCTGTAGGGCAAAAACTCATTTAACTCCCCGACAGAGGTGCCTCTAAGTTTTGTTGAACATTTCGTACTGTTTGGAGACGTGCTGGCACGCAAAACATTAAAAACACAAAAATTTTTGCGAGAGCACCATGATGACCGCTGTACTCGTGTCCTAGCAGTGTTTATCTTGGGCACTGAAACCAGCATGCAAAAATAAGAAGCTACTATAAATTATGTTGTGGAAAGGTGTCCGACATGGCAGGTTATAGCTTCGTTCAGTTCCAATTTTGCTGCGCTGGAGTTCTCACACGCTTTTTTTATCACCAACCATCACCACGGAGACAATGCTGAAAGATTGCTCTAAAGCAAGCTGGTAAAGCTGCCTTAATGATAATGCTTAATTGTTAAAGTGACGCTTCCTCATAATGTTCTTAATTTATTATAAAACAGGTTTTCCAATTGTACGGGGCCGTATAGATTTGCTACACGTTCCAATATATCAAGCTTTAATACAGCCACACTTTGATTATTGCAACATTGTTTGGGGAAACTGTGGGATAACCTTACGGAATAAGGTTCAAAAGCTACAAAACAGAGCAGGGTGGAAAAACCTAGCTTGCCAGCAACAATTTCAAAGAGCTACGATGGTTTACAGGTCTCTGCACGGGTTGGCTCCAAACTATCTTAGTTCTAAATTTGAAAGGCGAGAAGTCGCATATAACCTAAGGGACTCTGAAAATAAACTCAATATTCCATTACCGCGCACAAACTATTACAAAAACAGCTTCAGCTATAGTGGCGCCATTCTCTGGAACAGTCTTCCTTGTAACTTAAGGGAAGCAGAGTCCCTTGGGCAATTTAAACGATTACTCAAAGAACTGTAAGGCACGGCATTCGTGGAAAGCAGCTTTTTTATTTAAATATTTTTGTTATATTAGTATTAGGCATTTTTAAAGCTGACGAATTTTGTACCGTGAATAAATAAAGATTATCTATCTATCTATCTATCTATCTATCTATCTATCTATCTATCTAAATGGTCAGATTCAAACTGTCAGACAGTCGCATTTCCTCCATACCGGTTTTATCCGGATAAACAAGTTGATGTTCAAATAACCGTCAACCACATGAAGCTGAGTGACTCTGTGACAGTCCACGACGCTGTTACTTCATGGACAGCAAGTATCAACACAAAAAACTTCACCGTCTGTGTCATGCAAACCGGGAGGAAAGAAGGAGGTGCGAATCCATTTGCCACCATTGATTGGGTGGCTTATCAAGGAGCACCAGCCGAAGGATTGACGGGAACGGTTGAGTTGCAGAAATGGTGGTCTGGTACCAACTGCGCAGATGTAATCTTTCCTTCGGTAAGACGGGAATATTTTTGTACGTACAAATTTAACTCATTGTTGCAATAAAAGTATCCTAGGACGAATATCTTAGACTTTCATTCGCCACTACAGCTTTATCCACGTCTTCCAAACGAAGTTAGTCAAACAAACAAAAATAGCTTAATAAATCTAGCTGGATTTTTGAATTCAAAATGAACCTAGCAAAATTTGCCGCCATATGGGTGGAAACGGGCCAGAAAGTAGGTTTTTCTGGTCCCGTAAGTCCGAAAAACACACTAGAAAGGAAAAGGAAAGGAAACATAGAAAGATTCCATTTAAAGTGAGGATAGGCTAATTTGCCTATTAGCAGTGAATTTCATGTCACGTGCAGCAAAATTCAAGGAAGCATTAACACGCCTTCACTTGTAGTAAAAAGCTATTTTGATTGTTCTTATTGCTTCATTGTTATATTTTTCATTTTTTCAGGGCAAGTTTCCTGAGGCGCCAATAGTCCTTGTGACGTCAGAGCACCTGAGGACTGGTAAAGAGTATGATGCTGCTCTCATTTGGATTGAAGACTTAACAAAGGACTCACTTAAAATCTGTCTTCGTGAAATGCAAAACTTTGACGGTAGACACCAAGATATCACTGTGGTACGTTATCAGTTTTTAAAGAAACTAGAACGCCATTGTTTACACAATTTGTGAGGAATGCTGGTTTGTAAACTATAATAGCGATATGATTAATAGCATTCGTAACTTCAAGATTATCAGCGAGTGATTGTTTAGTCTAAAGGAGAAAGAAAATGGAAAGTAATAAAAACGGGAAAAAAATAGACATGAATTGCTTTGCCTATTCCTCATGCTTCCTTTCATGTTCTTACCCGATGCGCTTGGTGTTCTGGCCGAAATTGTGACGTCTTGCGTTCTCTCCTTGGTCACCACTCCATAGAGCTCAAAATGCTAAGATTTAAGGCCTAAAGAATGCTGGGCTTTGAAAAATGTTTGGTGAGGATGATATTACAATATTTACACAGTACGGATGGCATGGGCTCCTGATCACTTTTGTTGTTCTCTTTTTACAGAACTGGTTTGCATTCTCCAAACTGCACAAGCCTCTTTTCACCGAACATGGCGTCATAAGTTTTCCAAATACGAACCCACCTTTGGATAAAATGAACAATGCTTATTGCGAGGTGAGAATAGGATTACTCAATCACGCCTTTTTATCTCATTCATCATCTCAAGTAGCATGCTGTTCACAGCATTCAGTTTAGAAAAACAATTCGTTTACTAACATATTACTGAATATTTTCAAAACAATTGTAGTCATGTGCAGTAAAGATCGCCGAAAATCTCTTATAAAGCGACGAGAAAAATCAAGATGCTGGCACAGAAAATAAACATAAAATGTCGGCAGTTCGTCCAGATAAAATGATTAATTTTAGTCCAATGTTGGCTTAAAAACAAACATCTGGAACAAAAAAAAAAACAACAACAACAACAAAAACAGGAGGTAACTCAAGCTTGTAATGATCAGGAAATAGTGACTCAAGCGTTGTATGTTTCTTTTATATGGCAGTTCGTTTCATTCACGAGAGTCTATAACTCGACCCCGACAGTGCTTGTCTCAGCCAATCACAGTACGACGGTATCTGGGAATTCAGGTCCGATTCACAACGGAATTACCACGTGGATCGAGGTAAAAATTCTTTCTCACTTAAAACGTATTATAGTGACGTGTCCTGGTAAACAAATTTCAAACCAAAACTATAAGGATAAAATCAAACAGACTGGCAGAGTGGAGGCCATATATAGGTGTAGCTTACTTGTTGTTTCGACATACAGTGTATTGCAAACTGCACCTTATCTAGGAAAGGCATGTGATCAAAATAATATTAGATAATAATAGTAACTGCTGTGACTTGGGTAAATTTTGAGTCGTGTACATTTGTATATAGTTTTAGGTTTTAGATCATTAATTTAAAAGTCATGTAATAGATATGTTTGCCAGTATGTAGGAAAGTGTCCCCAATTAGCTAATTGATAAATACATTCACACTAAAATGTGATCATTATTATTGTGATTACGTGCTTTTCCTATTATTATTATTATTAGTATTATTACTATTATTATCATTATTACCATTATTATTATCATTATCACTATTATTATTATTATTATAACGTTAACCCATTGACGGCCCTGCCGGCCAAAACTGGCAGTACAAGACTACACTGCCTAAAACATTGCAACTTTTTCAATCGCGCGAGCATTGCCTTAACTGTCAGCTAGAGCATTGGGAATAATAGAATGCCCTTCAAATTGGGATATCCTGAATAGACGCAAAAAGCGCTCTTTGCAAAAATGACCGTTTTAAACGTCATAGAACAACGACAAAAATCGTGTTTCCTGCCTTCAGGATTTTTTTCAGAAATCATCGTTGCAAAACCAAAAGTCATCATTCACAGTAAAATTCAGTCCTTGTTCTAGTTTAGAAGTGACTTTTTTTGTTCTCCTTTGTTTTCTGGAAATATAGCCTTTTGTTCTAGTGCAGCCTGGCCTTGCCTCGATTTTCAACATCACGACTGCACTGCATGCTAGGAAATAGCCATTTTTTTTTCATATTTGTACAAAATCTACTGTCGCTCTGACCTACCACGGCTTGTTTTCATTTTCAGTTGTCGCAAATTTTTAAATATATGCCGTGGTAGGTCAAGAAATTCATCAGTAGTCGAGTCCCAAAGCTACTTCGTTTCGGAGCGGCCATTATTTCTCCAGTTACACGAGCAATAAGCAAAATTCGCAAACAAAGTTCATCACCTTACTCACTTCTTTAAGAAAGTGGACTCTTAGCTACCGTCACGCTTAATGATGCTCATCAGGAAGCCACTAAAGGTGAAATATGGCTGTAAAAGTACCAAACGTCGCGTAGAATCCAAACTTCAGCGGTTATTATAGCTCATCGAAGCAAAATGACTACGTCAGACTGACGTTTCCAGAAAACTCAAGCCTTCAGTGTTTTAGAACAGCACCTTCCATGGTAACCCCAATTATAGATTCACGAAATCCTATGGATTGTTTCTATGTAGAAAATCACTCTAAACCCTGAAAGTGTTGGACGTTTATGGGTTAAATTAATTAAGGAGGCGTGATGGTCTTGCACTGTAGGCTCAAGTTCATGCGTAACTGTTTTCCTCAGACAAGGAGCTTTGTCCCACTTTGCATCTCTTTATCCACGCGTCTTATCCAGGGGGAAGTGGCAATACTGCTGGATGCTCTTTCGGGATAGACGGGAATATTTAGCTGTGGTAGTGAGTGCCATGTGTCTCGCCAGCGACGTATAGCCTACATTATTCATAAGACAGAGAAAATAAAATCGTTCTTACTAAAAACACCCTTGTGGAAAGCGATATACATTTTTTTCAAATTAGATAACACTTTCAACAGGGGCACCCAATGACTGTTTTCTTTAAATTATATGTTCGGAGAAGCAAATATTGCCTAGAATTTTCTTTTCTTGATGACGACTAGAAATTTCTAGATGACCGTTCCAGTCAGGTACAATTTTCGAAGCTTATCTAATAAATGTCCTACGATGTTCTGAAATTTAACTTTTCACATTTTACTCCTCATGTTGGGGTAATTTTCGTAGAAAAAGGAAACCTAAAGTTTTCGGATTCAAAAATGCGATGGAGAGAGGATTAAGAAAATATCACTTTCGTAAAACATTATATCGCATCTAAAATTTTCTGAAAAATAATACTGAAGCCCTTGTAATCTCGAAAAGCTCAATTTCCCTTAGGATGATCGAACAGATAAAAATTTTTTTATACCGCCGCTTAAAATGCATTTCTAAAGATCTAAAAGTACTCTGGATAGCCTAAAAAGAATTTTGAATGTATTTAGGGGAAAATCGTCGTTGGGTGCTTTAAATCTCTTTTCATTCACTCAGTTTGAGGTCCTGAAAAGCGTTAACTATTTCACACAGAACATGACCATCGTCAAGTGAGTTACTGAATCTTTTTGCAGTCTTTTGACTTCTTCGATATCAAAAGCAATAATTCTAGACAAAGATTTTTGAAAGAATCTGTATCTTGCCCTCAGTAAACCCAGTTATCGTGCTATGTTTGCAGAACATGAATACCTCTGGATTCAGAGCCTGTGTCAAGGAATTATATGGGACCAGATATGACCCCTTATCCGTCAGTTATGCTGTGCTCACAGGTCTGTTAATTACTACTAACTGTCTTCATTTATTGAGTATGTCCACCGTATGTTTTGACAAACGAAGCTTACCAGATTAACCTGAAAACAATTCGTCTTTTGATTCACCTGCGTTTTTTTTTTCCTGAAGAATATTTCACCGGCAAGGATACAACACTTTGCTCAAATTTAAAGCATCAGGCTTCGAACAAACGTTTAAGAAGTTTGTGTTGCTTGCGAATTCACTTTTACGTAGTGATCTTTCTTCCATCTGGGTGGCACCACTCTAACTGCCCCGGAAACGTTTTTATTTGCGATCATTTTCGTATCAGCCTTGCAATAGTGCTCTGACTGAGGTGCCGTTAAGGTTAATATATACCTAGGCATTTTTTTATTTATTTGTATTTTATACAAAAATGGAGTAAGTATGGCAAGGAGGCCTAAAGGAAACTGTATCCAGCCTAATGTTAATTAAGCCTCCTCAATTACTAACAATGTTTCATGATGGATGACATAAAAATTACGACGACGGATACAATTATTTATCAAAGTAAAGTAACAATATAATAAGGAAATTAACAACTGTTGAGAATTATCATCTTTGTCTGACTTTGTAGATATTTGTGATCCTGGCTGGAACTATTTCAACGGCTTTTGCTATTTCACAAGTAAGACTTGTCAAAATTGGACCATAGCACTGGATAAATGCCGACAAGAAAACTCGGTTCTTGTTGACGTCCAAAACAATGAAGAAAATGTATTTTTACAGCATCTTCACAATGGAGCAAAATCCTGGTTAGGATTGAATGATATTTTTACGGAGGGTTCCTTTACTTGGGCAGATCGTGGTACCGGGAACTTTACAGCTTGGGCCAAGAACCAACCAAACAATTTTCGGGATGAGGACTGTGTGCATACACTTGGTGTTGAATACAAATACGAATGGAATGACGTGAAATGCAGCGACTGTCATCAGTACACTTGTAAGAAAGGTATGGTTTTTAATGTATGTTTAGTTGTAAGGTTTTGGTTTGACAAATAAGACATAATATATAGATAACAGTAATAGTCTTGGAAAAAAACTATTGGATCAGTTGATAATTCTTCAAAACCCACCGCTCCCCCCCTTCCCACCAAACCACACCATGAAATTTAATGTTTTATAAAAGTTAGTTGTCATTCATGAACTCTTTGACAGCGTCCAGTTCACAGTTTATGTTTAATAGGTCAGTCTCTCCGTTTAGAAAGTATTCCACTCGAATGGTGAATTAGGCCTATTTTTCTTAGTTCTGTTTCCGATTTTTCTTTGCAAAATCGGACCAAGAAACGTAAACTACCCTTTTGATTAGTTATACTTTTTTTTTCATCTGGCGAAACTAGAATTTTCCTGGAATGTGACTAAAAGAGTGACCAAGCAAAAAGTAAAGCCTAAGAAATTTATTTCCGAAAATTTTGTTGTAAGCCGAACACAAGACACTTCAATCCAGATCTTTGCTCGAGCAACTCCGTTGGTTGTCCGTAAAATATTTCATTTTTCGTCGAAAGGAACAGCAACACATATGTCTGAGACTTCGTTTTTTACCTTACCGAGTTTTTTTACCCCTACCCTCAGAGTCTGTATGGACAGACAACGGGCGCATAACCAAATTTTCTGGCATGGATAGGTTTCCATTTTCTATAGGTATGGGGTCCGCTGCGAAAAGCTCGCGCGGACGCTCCGTTAAAACAAACAAAAACAATACATATGACAACCTCTGAACAAATAATAGGTATATCTTGTGATACTGCACAATACAAACACAGATTGAATCAGGTGAGCAAATAGATGAAAGTAGCAACAAGAAAAGGAAATTAACGCAATGAGTGATCGCCCCATGTAAAATATAAGGGATTCCGGATTCCGAATTCGGGAAGTTTTTTCTTGTGGGACACTGAATCCATGCAGTAAACGTTTGCAGTAGACTTCGAAAGCCTGGGATTTGGAATCCGTAATATGGCACAAGGAATCCGGAATCCACCGCGTAAAATCCCGAATCCAAGCCTGTATTATATTCCCTTATATGGGGCGAGAGTACTGATGGATAAATGATTAAAAGACTACAAGCTTTTGAATAACTCTTCATTTAAGATTTTAATTCTCTTCTTCTTAAAGGAGGGTGTCAATGGGGTGGTAGCTTTGGCGGTTGACGTTTAAATTTTAGAGCTTTTGACGGTTACCGTTTATTTAGTGGAAATTTAGTCTAAGAGTTTTTATTAGCAAAAACTGTTATTATGTTTTGGAGGCCGTCTTGGCCTTTCACTTATAAAATTGCGAAATAATTTCAGATACAAGCAATTTATAACGCCTTGTAATGTCTAGAAAGAGTGTTTTTCAGAACATGGGAACTGGCTTTCCAGTTCAGGATGCTTCAGGAACCAGAAGTCCATGACGATCAGCTGAAATACTAAAAAAAGCAAGATAAAAATACCTTGAAACGAAAAATATCAATCTGACTTTTTGACTGTTGACGGTAAAAAATATCTTTCTTTAACGGTTGACGGTTACAGTTTAGGCCGTTTAACGGCTGGCGCTTAACCTCATTGAAACCCTCTTAAAAAGAAACTGGCTGCTGAAATTAATTATATTTTTTCGTATTATATAGATCTGAATGAGTGCAGCAGGGACAAGTATTATTGCCATCGTTTTGCCACCTGTTCAAATAATCGCGGTTCCTTCACTTGCACTTGTGACCTTCAACAAGGTTTTATCGGGGATGGCTTTGAGTGCAACTTAAATTATGCAGGTTGGTGATCTTATGTAGGCTTGATTTAGCCGTATGGACGAGCTCAGTCTCGATCCTCTTCCCAACAACGGCTGGATAATAAACAATTATTGGATGAGATTGAGCATGATATCATGAATTATCAAAACCGAGGTCTGTGTTATCTGCCAAAGCCGAAGGCTGAGGCAGATAATACAGACATGAGGTTTTGATAATCCATGATATCATGTGAAAACCGAATTCAATAATTGTTTTATTATACATTTTTTTAAACAATAGGCAAAAGAAGACATTCATCTGTTAAAAAATGGCTTTATTTCATAACTAAGGTGAAAGTGACACTGATAAGCTTAACCAAGATCATTTAAAAAATTTAAAATACAATAATAAAATCTTTGTCTGAATAAAGTATACAATAAAATAGAAAAATCCTTAACGGGAAATCTTTATAAACATTAATTGAAAATAATTCATCCTTAGAAACAGAAGCGAAGCGTTCAGCCATTCTGTTTCTGAGGAGAACACTCCAAGGGGCTTGGTAACCAGGCAGACGTTGAACTTGACATGATAAATGCAATATCTGCAGCAGATGTTGCATTTGTCATGTCAAGTTCACAAGCTATTGTGAATTGACTGAATGCTCTCGACCAATCAGATTTTTCATAGTGAGTCTGATGTATAATAATAGGTCCTAATGGTCCACACCAGTAGTACATGACTCACATTCACTCTTTATGCAAGTTAGACTCTGACTCACAATTTTAATATTTAGGCACGATTCGCAAAAAAAATGTAGCTTGTAAAGATATAGAATCTGCATTTCAATGTTAAAATGTTTAGAAAGTAAATTTAACTTAATAACAAGGATCTTTACAGAGATTTTGTCTTGTGAAAACAAACAAGAAAAATATGATATTGGTATGTATTTGTGGAACAGAACTAAAATCTTGCAAGTAAGCTTAATGACTATATTCATTTTCTAAAAAAAAAAAAGCTAATAAAAATAGGAAACATCATATGTCAGATATCAAATGAATGGCAGTTTCATCTGATATTCAAGACACTGAGAAATGGGTAGGAATAATTTAGGACATGGACATATTTGTATAGAATTTTAATGTAAAAATTATCTAAATTTTATCTTGCAAGCCTTACATTTCCAGTTTATAGTTTTCCTACGTCTCAATAGGACATAAGTCAAGTCTCCTTGTAACTCCAACATCAGTACTGCCCCTGTCCTTTTTTTTTTTTTTTTTTTTTTTCTCGCAGGAGGATTGACAGACTCCGCTATTGTGGGAAATGATGTTAACTACTTAACTCATTTAAGCACGTGGCTCAAACCAGTTGCTCAGAGCAAATCTTCACAATGGAAGCGATGTTGGCGTGCGTCCGTGGACGGCTGGGCTGCAAGTACTTTTCACAGTCGATGTGACAACAAAGGACCAACTGTTACAATAATAAGAGTCGGCGGAACGTACATATTTGGAGGATATACCAGCCTATCATGGAGTAAGTACTAAATTCTGAGCATAATAAAAGTTTTTGGTGAAATGGAAATGGCGAGAACCATATGAAATTTTAGGGAGGGGCTCAGTGATTTTAGCGAAAAATAATCAAGTTAAGTTTTGTTGATTTTATGGGAAAATAATCTGCAAACAATATTAGAGAGCTCAACGTGACATTAAGCACGCGGACATTGAGCTGAAAATGCAAAAGGTACCATTTAGGGATAAGAGGAATTATTCTTTTAAGCAGACTTTTTTTTTTTGTATCAGAAACCGAGAAAATTTGTGTCTTGACTTTATTTAAAACACTGAAGTGTGTGCAAGTTGTCCTAGAATCCTTTGAGGCATTTTTTTTGAAAGCTTTATAACTTTGACAAATTTATACGTGGAAGAATGCCAGACCACAACAAGATAACATTTGCCATAAAATACATCAATCACGTGGCCATTGCTGAATAAGGGTTTTTTGTTGCTGTGACAAGATTTCATTATCGGGTTAAAATAAAATACTGATATTTGAGGTTTGTGTTGTGTGCAGCATTCAAAAATAACCAGTTTACCTCCGGCATTTAAAATTTAAGGGGGCAATGAACATGAGTGAACTGAATTCGGGAGACTAGGCTGAGGGCTGTAGAGAGTTGACGTTTCATCACGCGGCAGAGGAAATTTGCAGGAAAGTAATGTTCTTCCGGATAATTTTTAATCTTCTAACCCTAAAAGCCAAATGATTTGCTACCCTAACCAAAACAATGGAAATAATGATGAACAATGTTGTGTTAATGTTTTCCCCGACCGATGAAAAGACACCGTACGAGGGAGAGTTGGTAGTAGCGCGATCGCTAGTTCACAATTTTCTTAAACGTTCCCCGGCATGGACCAAGCCTGAAAGAGCTTTGATGAGTTTATTGTGAACTTTACGTCTAGCTTTGATCAGTTAAAGATTTAATTCTACACGGAAATTAAAAAAAATCCGAAAGTCATCCTTGAAAACTGCCAATCAACAAAGAGAAGGAACTCTTAACTCTAAATTCTAACTGATTCTGAGGGTCCGGGTTCGAATCCTCTTCGAGCAAATTTCTCGTACTTCATATTTTTTTTCGTTTTTTCAAATCTCTTCTTTACTTTCTTTTTTACCTGTATGTTGCATATACCTAGTAACATAATGTGTAAATTGAAAGCAATGTTTACAGGAATATAAAATGTGCGGTATTTATCATAATTTTCATTCACGAAGACAAGTATTGAAGTGTTTCTGAAAATCCTTGTTTATGTTTTAAGCCAGCTTCTCGGACTCGAGGCAAGAAAATCACTCAAAGCTTTCTTTTACAGCCAGAATTATAACTAATTTTCTTTGGAACGTTTTCTTTCTACTTGCGGTGAGAAAATGTCTAAAGGCTTTTTAAAGTTCTATAAGCTTATAATGAAACCTGATACTCGATCAGATCATTGTATCGTATCTTACAAACGCGCATAAACTAAATAGCCGCATAAACTACGCTCGACTTCATTAAATTAGATATAAAAAACGAACATCAAATACAATAATTACTCAAGCTTACCATTCGAGATACATTGAAAACTATCAAATAAGGCCAGAATCGCTTCAGACTTTTCAACCCTCTTACGCATCAGGCAAGTTGAAAAACGAAAACGATGCCATTCCGAAATCGGATTTCCGACTTTGACAAGCCACGTATATTTTGTACACTCAGTGGAAAAAGACAGTTAAAAACATCACAAGTTGACACTCTGTCAGCTTCAACTGTCAAAGTAAACAAGTTTCAAGATGCATGCTGCATAAATTTTTCGCATCAATTCACCTGTCAAATCTTGACCAATCAGAGCATAAAAATTGGAGGTAGAGCGTGACCAACGAGTGCCCTTGGTAAGGAAAGTCAAAAGCAACTGGCATGCCTTCCCTGCCTGTAAACACTGGCTGAATTTTAGCTTCCGAGGTCAGTTTGAAATCAAAATTTTAATTCTGCGGCACTTATAAAACACGACATATTTCATATGAATTAAAAAAATTAAACTTGAGCCTGCGATCATTTGAAAACAAGTAACTTGTCAGCGGATAACTTCAAAAAGATACTCGACCTCAATTGGTGGACACGTAAGCCCGCGATACGGTCAGGTGATACTGGTCAGCAGATATCCAGTTTTGACAGCTGTCAATTAGTCACAACATTGATGTGCGATATGTAAGCAATATCAGTCTTCCTCCCAAACTAGCTAGAAACTGTGAGATTGAACGTTGGTTGCCCTTTGGTGCCGACGGACGGTTTCTCGGGCGGGAGGGCGGTCGGTGTGAGGTCACGTGATTACCAAATTTTCTCGGATGGGTAGTTTACTTCATTTTCTTACCCATGTTGCTGCGCTCAGCAAACGTTAAAAGTCTTATCATTTTGCGATTGGGAGAGCGCGTAACCTCCTTTACTAAAGATAGCAGTGCTAACTTGTGTAGTGAAAAATAGTAAAATGACGCTTTCTGGGAAGTCTGTATTTTGAGGAGACGCGAAGAAACTTCAAGTAAAATGTCGTACTCGTAGTCGTTCTCTTCCTCGAATCTAAAGGTCTCTAGTTTCAAATTAAAGACCACTTAGGTTCAACATTGAGTTTAGAAGTCGCATTTCACATGTGCCGAATATAATGCATTAATTATAGAAACTGTTATCCATATTGGATAAAAAGTTCTTCTAGAGACTGGGAATATTTGCGACTAACGGACTAAAATTTGGCACCATCATATCGGACGTCTGAATCAACTGCCGTATTTGATTACTTTCATAGGCTAAAATAGGTGTTCGGCACTCATAAGAAATTCCACGTTTTTAATTGGCCCAACATGACATAAATCTAAGCTCAGTGGTTTGCAGGCTGTTATTAAGTTGTTGTTTTCTTTTTAGAAAGAGTAATTCGTGTCTCTCTTTGTAAATCCATTTTTTTAATCGGCTTGAGCCGCGACTTAAGAATCAGCTGTAATGGTTGATTTTACTATCCCTTTGATATGATTCGTATGTCACTAGACATGATTTGTATGTCAAAAAGAGCGATCAATTTTCATCCATCCATTTCAATAAAATCAAATGGAATCACTTCTCACTATAGCGGACGACCTCGAACCGTGACTTCGTCGTATAATATGCCGCACCGCAGAAAGACGAAAAAGCTAAACACTTTTTTGATCAAATTATTTAAAGGTTTAAACTCGAAGCTTTATATAGTGTAAAATAATTATGATTTACTTTTTCTGGTATCACTTGTAATAATAATAATAATAATAATAATAATAATAATAATAATAATAATAATAATAATAACAATAATAGTAATATCGCACTGAAGGAAACTGAAAAAAAAGCAAGTACAAAGACCTAGAAATAGACATACAGAGAATGTGGCATATGAAAACCGTAGTGATCCCTTTGGTTCTTGATGCGCTTGGTACAGTGAAGAAGGGTATGATAGAGAACATCAAGAAATTATCAGAGAGAGCTACTATGACAGAGATTCAAAAGATCTGCATGCTAAGATCTGCGCGAATCCTCAGAAAGGTGCTCAGTGTATGAACAGAATGATTGACTTGAGTGACTGACGCTCCAGGTGCATGGTTTGCGCCCGGCTGATGCACAAAAAGAACACCAGCAAAGACTGTGATAAAAGAGATAATAATAATAATGATAATAATAATAATAATAAGGGATCTTGCTTAGATTTTGGTCCATTCCCTTTTACTGAGTCTCGAGTGTACCAGCAATAACTGGCACAGTTTATTATTATCATAGAATTACAGTCGACTCCCGATAACTCGAACCCTCGCTAACTCGAACCAAAATCGATTTCCCCTGGATTTGTCATACTTTCACTGTAATTTTACCCTCGGTAACTCGAACCCTCGATAACTCGAACTCCCGCTAACTCAAACCAATTTTCGTTTCCCCTCAGGTCAATTTCTATATAATTTTACCCTCGATAACTCGAACCATGTTTTGAGCCCTCAAAAAGTCGGGAAAAAAGCCGTCTACTGGCTTCTGAAACATTGAATTTTGGATTTCCTATTAACGTGTTGTAGGAGTATGGTTTGCCAATGGAGGCTGATGTTGATTGTCACAGGCTAACGTGAAGCAGCTTTTCTTTTCAAAACAGTAAAACGCATGCTCTATTTAGGCTATGTTTTGTTACGTTACGTTCTGATTTATAATCTAGAAGTATCTTTTACTTCTCACTTGACCTTTCTACAATTAAAGGTGATTAAAATGTTCACTGTGCAGTAAAAAATGTTTTTTACCATAGTCTAGGCTATTTTCTTCGAGCTCCCGATAACTCGAACTTTTTTCGATTTTCCTTGAAGGTTCGAGTTATCGGGAGTCGACTGTATTGTAATCCTTGGCTTGCTTGTTTAGACTCTAAAGCACAGAGTCCAAACTATGGCCCTCAAGTACAAAAGAGATTACTTGATTGACAGAACCTTTCTGAGGATGTGGGCTATTCCCAGAAGTGAGATTCTTTTGGTGCTCGCTGACACTGGTTGTTCTGTTAACGTATTTTTCCTGTCCCTTCTTAATGACCCCGAGCGCCCCAATAACAACTGTTACCGTCTCCATTTCCATTTTCCACATTCTGGCGATTTCAAACTCTACGTCCTTATACTTAGAGAGTTTCTCGACTACCTTAACGGATTATTATTGTTCAGTTTTTATGGTTAAAGTCTCGTCTTTCATAAGTAACGACCGTCATTGCAACGTGAACCTCTTTTCAATTTCAAAGTTTTCATAAACTATCTATTTCTGTTACCTTTCCATCGTTATGTTTACGACTTACTTATCTTCTAGACGTTGAGTGTTTTAAAAATTAGATAGAAACGTATACTGGTCATTGTCACCCGATGAGAACCATGTTGACATCATCATAGGCAGGCATGGTCTTATTTTCACTGATTTTTATGTTTGTGGAGCCACACCTCTTGTTCAGACTAATTTAAGACCTTTTACAGACAACAAATGCGTAATCTTTTTGGTTGGGAGCGTGAGATAAACTTTTGCCCGTCTATGCCTCCTATCTAGGTACTATGCGATAGGATTCAGTCCAATAGTAACTAATTTTACGCTAAAGGAATTGCCTTGCAAAATCTCTTTCTTTTGGACTTTGATTTGACCATTCTTCCCTTTATCCTCTCTTGTATCTACCTCCAGTGTGATTTTTCATGTCTTTATGGCATGTTAATGAATTACGCTATAATGCAACCCATAAAATTAAAGTGTTCTTATTAATATTCATTGGTGGGATACCGAATCAAACGCTTTCTTCGCGTCCACCAAACAGCAGGATATTTCTTCTTTTGAAGGTATGCATCTTCTAGTACCGTTTTCTCAATCAACAAGTTGTCAAAACAACCCGTGTTTTTTTCCTGCAGTACACCCTCCTTTATCGATCTGCATCAAGCGATCTTTTCCTCGTGTGATTCTAAAAAGCCGTGTATTACTTACGTAATCAGTTTGTAAAGTGAGTTCAGAGATATAGTTGGTGTGTAGTCAGATCAGGCTGAAGGATTATGTTTTTCACGAACCATAACACTTCTCCCCGACGTAAACCAAGATGGAGTGTCGAGATGCCCATTCAGTACTGCTGCAATTAATGTTTTCATTCTCTTTTTCCAGTTATTTGTAATCTTATCTTCTCCTGGGGAAGATTAATTTTGCTTCTTTTTCCGAGCTTTCAAATACCATCTCAATTGTGCATGTGATCTGTATTCTATTTTCACTGAGCTGCTCTATCTGTCTCGACGCTTCGTATCCAGTCCGCCTGGTAAGCTTTTCACTCGAGTTCTCCCATACAGGCCTCCAAAATTCTTCAAGATCAACCTTTGTTGTTGTTGTGATTTATTATTTATATTATTATTATTATTATTATTAGTAGTAGTAGTATTAGTAGTAGTAGTATCTATTTTTACCCCGATTTTTAGAAGTAGAGAGTTTCCAATCGAACCAGAAATTGAGAAGTTTGGAAGCGAGATCACAATGCACTATAATTAAAAATGAAAGAAAATACAGGCAAAAACGTCAATGGCATAAAAAACTTAATATTATAGTCGGTTCGACACTGAAATAAAGATTCAGAGCAGCGATGGACACAACAAAAAAATGGATGCACAACAAAATTAGACGGAGTTACTCGTGCTGTTTTATTTCCTACATTCTGGATTAAATGACGAGTTTGGTTGTCCCATACATAAATAAATAAATAAATAAATAAATAAATAAATAAATAAATAAATAAATGAAAGAAAGACAATTGAAGAAGAATTTTGTAAAGAATGCATTTATGTACAATCAGCATTTGCTCTAAGTTAAAGTCAAGCCAGGTGAAGCGTACCTCCTAATATTCCTTTAATGTATTTGTTATTTGAAGGTTGACTCTGTTAGTAGTTTTAGGTTTTTAGATTCAGCTCTTCATTCCTGTATTCGTAATGAGCAGTGAATTCACACGCGAGGTAGTTCTGAAATAGCTGCCCCATGGGGTGGAACAGAAGCTACTTCCCTTACATTCTCTTAAATGAAACCCAAACTATGTTCCTACAACTTGCAAAGCGGCCATCAAGGGTCTTGCCAGCAGATTTGTGTACTGATCATGCGCATTACGCCAAAAACCAAAGATCAGCAGTTTTGGGAAGGAATAAAAACATGGCGGTCGAAGGCGGGACTGTTTCTCACTATTTATTTATTTTTGGTAATTCGCAAATTTATTGATTTTATGTCGCTTTTCAGACATAGTTTGTGGTTTGCTTTTTATTTAAACAATTTTCCTCTGCAGCGTTTAGAAAATGGCTGAAAACCTGAGGGGAGAGAGAGAAATACTGCCGCGTCTTGCCTTTCGCGCGTGGGGTGATTTTCACGCGAGCTCGCGTTTTGCTCGCTCTACCATCCCTGAAGAAAAATGGGGACTACTCGTAGTCCAATTATTTTGAAGTTAGAATGAACCCATTTGTTAATTTTCTCATTTAGTTTTCATTATTTTTAGTTTCATTTCATTTCTAGTGTTTATATAGGATTGCTATTCTTATCTTTATGGGCCTACTTTTGGAGGTGGACATGACATTCACATTGCCCGCTACGCATCATCCAGTAGCAGTTCCTATACCGACCTTGGTTATGCTTACGGTCCACCAAGTGGGTACAGCTATGGAAGCACCTTCACCCGGACATTTCTGGCAGGCACTTATCAGTTTACTCCAGACGAAGTAGAAACGTTTTACGAGACAACCTAAAAATATAATTTTGGCTTCGTAGTTTCATTAATTAGATATAACCAAATAACGTTGCGGCTGTTTAATCAGACGTTCTCGTCAATTACTGTCCACAGGCAAAAACTAAGAAAGAAATCAAATATTAAAAGGACACACGGTACCACAGCTTCTCAGAACCTTTTATTCATGCGTTATTGCATGGGGTTTAGTGATAAAAGGTCACTTCGAATCAAGGAATGAGCTGAAACTAACATAGTTCACTTGACAATTGTATGTCAGGCTTATAAGTGGAAAACGCTAAAAATTGTACATTACTAGTTTTATTAACACCTTACGTAAATGACATTAGTTACTGTTACGGAAAATCATATTTTAGAGTCAGCTTTGTATAAAGCAATGATTTTGCATACATTCTTTGGAACAGCAAAAATGACTTAGAACAAACCTTCTAAGTATAGTGTTCATTCCGTGCAATAACGCATAAATAAAAGGTTCTGGAAGAAAAGACACCTTATTTTATACCACTGAGGACAAGCAAAAAGGTCATATGGGTACCTCGGTTAAAAATATTTAAATAACTCTATTAATTAATACCAGTTCTAATTTAAAGGAAAAAGTTATGAGAATAAAATAAAAGTTGTCTGTACCACGAAGCATGCCTTCACTGTTTAGACTGAGAGTCCTAAAGCTTTTTTAGCGTGTATTCGAATATCTTATCACGCGATAAGTCCGCTGTCACAGCGTTTTGGGCATCCCCGCGTTTTGGGCATCCCCATTTCCAAATCCCTAGCGTTTTGGGCATCCCCTTCTCATATTACTGCAGCGTTTTGGGCATCCCCCGGTACCCTCCCGGGATGCCCAAATCGCTAGTGTTTTGGTCATCCCCTCCAAAGAAATGCTGGATTTCGCGGGGAAATCGAAAACGTTTTAGAGATGGCTTCCGCTAAATATAGAAATCTTTTCCAGTATCTTAAAAAGAAGGCTTATCCGGAAGGCTTTACAAAGCAAAAAAACGACTCTGCGAAATTTGCCAAAAAGTTCGAGTATGACTCAAAATTAGAGTCCTTGTTCTAGGTGGCCAAGGAGAAGGATGGCACAGCGCTTCGATGAATTGTTCACCGAGGAAGAGAAAGCGAGGGTCTTCGAAGAGTGCCACTCTGCTCCTTTTTCTGGACACGCCGGCCGCGGTAATACTTTTGCACCCTGTGAAGGTTGTTCCCAAGGTGTGGTACTCGGTCGGAATTGATTTAATAGAAGCCCGTACTACATCTCAAAACGGCAACAGATTTCTTCTGTCCCGTAGGTGCAAGAGGCCTCTGTATAAATTGCGTGACAGCCTTTTGTGTGTCAAGTAGCGCTGCGGGGTTAAGTTGTACAGGCCTCAAATGTCAAGCATACTGTGAATTCAATACCGCAAAACGCAGTTTTATTCATGTTTGTCTTTTGATTGTTTTGTTTAGTATTCTTGTTTTTGGTTTTTTGGGGTCAGACGATCGCAGCTGCCGGCGATTGCGGCATTTCTCGCTGGTAAACAGTTCTATTAAATAAAATTGAAGCTTTGCAAATAATGAAGCGTTGTACAGCGAAGGGATGTTATGCGGTTGTACACTTTCGTCCCGTTTTGAGCCAACGTTTACTGCCTATGGGTTTTTTTTCTGCGCAATCAACCCGGCGAAAAGTGTCAGACGATATAATTCTAACATGCATCAACACTATTCAGCCGTAAATTCGTGATTGACAATCCCGACTTTTCCCCAGTCTGAAATAATTTAGGCAAAGTCGAAGCGATCAGCGTTTTGGGAATGGGGATGCCCAAAACGCTGTGACACCGCCACCCACACCACCCCGCGGCGTACTGTTTTCACTCAGCGGCTGGTCAGCGGTCACCTTTATGAGGTAAACATGGCGATCACCTCCGGATCACCGTTCTTGTCGATCAGAAAATCAAAATACCAGTGTGATATGGCCTCGACGAGGATGCAGTTATGTTGTTTGATTCGTACTTCACATTCGAGTCGAAGCTTGGGTGGCACAGGTTATTTCTTACGGTAGAATCGACAAGGGAAATTCGAACACCTAGTGGTCACTAGTTGTAGTGTTTGAATTGTTGGAAGAAATGGTCGCATGGGGATGTAGGAATGGTAGGTTTAACGAACAATTGCAAATTTTGCCCCTTAAATGGAAAGTGAAGTTCATTTAAATGCTTTCGTATGTATTTCTGACTGTTTTAGATCTACCTGCTCGATTTATATCAGCTATGCTTCATGTTGACAAGTCCCTCAAAATGGCGGCAAAACTAGGAGATTGCCGAAAATTAGGTAAGTTCACGGAGTTATAAAGTTTTAGTTAAGGTCGAGCCGCAAAGTTTTTTTCTGTAGTTACCTTTTCTATGGCACCTACTTCCTAGCTATATTAGTTGGATCAGTTAAGAACGCCTCACTTTTTCAAAAATGTACCTTGAATTTGATCGGTTTTCGCGTGTGTGACTTAAGCGAACCGATAAGGTGTCGTTCAAGTCTTCCTGTTTGCTTGATTGAAACGTAATGTTCACGAAAGTCGCCTCGATGGATAAGATAGAGTTAATATACATGGCTGTGGTATTTGTTTTTTGCTGAGTCCCGTAGTTTGTTGTAAATTGTCCGGCAAATTTGCCTCAAATTAACGTCTTGAAAAGTGTTACGACAGGCCTTCGGTCTTAATTTGGCAGAATTATCTGCTGATATTAACGACTTCACGCGACGCATGCGTTTAAAAGAATATTTTCATGATCACAATAACAGCACTCAACCTAACGAACACAACCCATTTCACAACAAAAGCTCATGGACGCCTCCTACTGATCGAGACCCTGCACTTAACACGTACGTAGACGCCATTAAACATGACATCTTTACAAAACTAACATTAAATCTAAACCCACTACTGTTTCTGAACACTTTATCTCTCACTCTCACCATTCTCATACTGACATGCAGTTAATCCCACTAAAGATAATTCATTCTTCACGTGACTCAGTTCGTGAGGCCAAGGAGTCGCATTTGATAGATAAGGCCATGACTCTTGAACCTCATGGCCTAAACCGCCGTGACGAATTATTGTAATCCATATCCTTAGTATTTTTCCTTTCCAGTTTTTATGTTGTACGTCATTTCCGCCTCTCCCTTTTATTGCGACATTCTCCATCTATATAATATTGTGATTGCTACATAAGTTCAGTAACATCTGTAAACCTGAAGAAGGCTGGTATGGCCAGCCGAAATATTGTTATAAAAAACAATACACGTTGTTTTAAATCAGCTTTGCTGTAGTCTTCGAAGTTTTCGTTCTTGTTTCTTTATATTTTGGCTGATTTGATCTCTTTTCTAGAGATCCAACGTTTACAACTAACAGGATTTTCGTCCACGGTTTTTGCAGTTAATTTAATCCTTTATTATAAAAAAACTACACTCTTTTAAATCATTTGGAAGGCTGTTCCAGTCTTTCGCAGCGTGAAAAATAAAAGTTTGTTTACCCCAGTTTGTTCTGGGTAGGGGTAAGCGAATATCATTAGAGCGTCTTGTATTATATGAATGAAGAGCTTGACTTTTAGTAAAATTGTAGTTGAAATCGGTTTCTCCAATAAGACACTTGTGGGCTGCAATGCAGCGATGAAAAAACCTTCTTGTGGACAGTGACTTCAGATCTAGACTCTTCAGTGCTTCGATTTACGAGCTTCGGGGTGGTTGCCTCAGCATAACTTTTGCAGCTTTATTCTGTAGAATCTGTAATTCTGACATAATGGTGTAATTGTTCTTGTCCCCCCATATAACGTCTCCGTAATCAAAAAGAGGGAGGATTAGGGCATTGTACAAGGCAACTCTAGCTTGTAGCGGCAATAGATTCCTGATTCTCCTAATTAGGCCTATTCTCTGATTAATATTCACGCTGATAGATAGCATCGACATGATCTGCGCAGGACATAGACTGTTGAAGCGTTACGCCTAGGTATTTGAATGATTGTGTTCTTTCAATACTAGTGCCCTCTACTTTAACCGAAATGCCTTGAATACGATTCAGCTTCTGAGGACTTCCAAAGACAACAAAATTACATTTGGATATATTTAGTGTCAGGAGATTTCTAGAGAACCACTCAGCCACTGTCCCCAAGTAAGCATGCACGGATGTGATGTTCAAGATCACTGACGCCGTTTGGATGAGTAATAGAGTACAGTATCGTCCGCATGAAGAATAATATCACTTGCCAGATGACAGTCCGGAAGATCATTAACGTAAATTAAAAACAATAAAGGTCCCAATATACTGTCTTGGGGTACTCCAATAGGCATTTCGGTAGATGCAGAGTGAGCATCTCTAACCGATGTAATTTGTGACCTGTTTGTGAGGTACGATCTAAACCACTGGGTGGTAGACGTGGTAAGACCGATGTTTGTAAACGTTTGCAGCAGCAGGGGATGATCCACTGTATCGAAGGCCCTAGACAGGTCCAGAAAAACAGAACCTGTAAAGGAACCAGCGCCCATATTCTGGAGGATATTGTCTGTGAAATAAGCCAAGAATGTAAGGATACCATTGTTCTTAAGATAAGCGTACAGTTGGGTGTGCACGGCTTTTTCTAGAATTTTACTGATTGTTGGCAGCACAGTAATGGGTCTGTGATTGTTAGCATCAAAGCGATCACCTTTCTTGAATAACACTGCCACTTTTTCCAAATTTCCAAAGAGAAGGAAAGGTGTGAGTTTCCAGGAAAAGATTAAATAATCTAGTAAGACTGGCACTTACTACTGAGGCTGAATCTTTCAGTAGACGAGCACTGATATTATCTAGGCCAATGGCTTTATTGGTTTTGAGCTGCTTAAGCTCACGAAGAACGAATTCTTCCGTAATTGGCTCGAAAGCAAATTCACGGGGTAGATTCGAGTTTACCGCAGGCGCCGAGTAGATGTGGAATCTACAAGACTTGAGCTTTTGCGCCAGTTTAGTTTCAATTATTGAAAAGTGTTCATTGAGAATCTTGGCGATAG